CGACTCGGACAAGCGGGCCCGCTGGTGGGTTAAGAGTGACTCCGACACCCAAGGCTGACGTGCTCCCGACACGGCCTACCTCAACGTCCATAGCAGGGACCTGCCCATGGACACCTGTTCCCCCCACCTCCAGCCACCCGTTGCCCCGAAGGGGCTTGTTTCACTTCGCTGCGCCCGGCTCAGGCCGTAATACCCGGGGCCACCCTCCGCTGGGGCGAAGGCCCACCCCCATATCTCACCCACGGCGCAGCTTTGCTAGACAGCCCACGCTGGATAAGCGGACCACCATCCATCTTTTCGGGCCTGACATTGGGGGGCCCCCCCACCTGCACCCGACATCTCACCCTCACTGGCACGGCGGGGCCCGCCTGGCTCGCGCAAGCAGGCCCCCCTGGCTTCCAGACTTTGCTGTCCGATGACGACAGCCGGCTCGCGTGCCATGGGCAGGAGGTGGGCCACGGCATCCCCCCCGCCTGCCTGGCGGCGAGCTCGACCTAGCTAGGTCGCAGTTTTGCGACACCGCAGGCGCATGAACATCAGCGGCGGTTAGCTGCGACTCTGGAGGAACCAACGCCCACCGTCCCCGCAGAGGTGCCAGTCTCCGCGTTGGCAGACCAGCATTCGGCGTGGCAGGATGTCCACTCTGGACCACACCATCGGACTGCACCAACACCGGGCGAAGGACCTATCACTCGTTACTATTTGCACTTTAGCGGCGGTTAGCTGCGACCCTGGAGGACTCTCGAGAATGGCGGCCGCGTCCCTTGACAGACAGATCTGGGGCCCGTTCGAGGGGCGTTGAGGTGCTACTCCTCGCCTCTCCCCTCGGGCCCCTCTCGGGTCGGGCGGGTGTCCCCCGCCCTTGGCCCTCGGGGCTCGCTTCCTGGCGCTTCTCTCACCGGGCGCCCCCCTTGGTGGCCCCCTGTGGGAGCGGTCGGTCGCGTCTACCCCCCCCTCCCGTCGGGCCTTCTACTGGCGGGGGTTCGCCAGGCGTGCCGACTGACGCCGTTGGCTTCGTCCCCCCTCCCCAGGACCGCCCTGGACCCCCGCTGTTTGTGGTAAGTTTCCTCACTTCCAGCGCGCGACCCTGGAGGCCCACGCGGCGCGTGGTTGACGGCGACCCTGGAGTCCCGCGGGGAAGGGCGGAAGCGGCGGACATGGTCGGCCCACGGTGGCCGTCGGCCCTCGCGGCTGCTACAGCGCAGCTTCCCCCAGGTCGCCCCACCCAATTGCAATGGTTCTCCCACTTGCTTGGACACGCGCCACGCACCGCACCTGGAGTTACAGCCAGCTTCGTGTACTTGGAGGATAAGGCCGTCCCTCGGTCCCTCGGTGGCCTTTGGCGTACTTCAGGCGGCAGCTGCCTCGCCCCCTGTGCAGCACCCCCCTGGATCCCTTTGCCTCGCTGGCGATGCTCACCCGCCCGCCTGGCCTTCTCCTCTAGCCCATTTGGCCTGTCGCTGTGCCGTTGTCGACGGGGCCGGCTCGCGGTCGTCCGTGCCCCCCACGTGCACTGTCTGGTGGACTTTTGGGTGCTGTGACCGCAACGGAGTGGTTCAGCCTTTCGCAGCCGCAGCAGCACCCCGGGCTCATCCCCCCTCTTCCGGCAAGTCGCGTCGTTCCACGTTCCTCGGCAGCTCAGCTCCCCTAGCCAGCACACGTCGTTGGGACGGATTGAGCCTGGCGCCCCACTGGCGACTCGCTCATCGGGCTTCGCGCCTGCCCCCACCCAGTTTGACGGACACGTTTGCCCCGGTACACGTCATGTCGCTGCGTGGGTCATGCCTCGCGGCAGGCAACGAATTTCTTTACATTTCGTCAGACTGCACATGCCCGAGCTTCCCAGGATGTCCCTTGCCGTCAGCTTCCCGCTCAGCCCCGCGGCTGCTTTGTGAGTGGGCCGGCCGGCTAGCGGCGCGTCTTGTAGCTGATTAGGCTTGCCCGTCGGCCCGGACACCCTGTTCGCCGCGTGCGCTCTTCGCTCGTGGCCGCGACCGAAAAAGTATCCCCACCAGCCCATCCAGAATTGATTGCCAGTTTTCTTGAGGCTTCTTTGGAGGCTATCTTGAGCCATGCTCGGCTAGAGGCTGTCGGATGCTATCTTGAGCCGTGCTCGGCTATCGTGGGCCATCTTGAGGCTGTCTTGAGGCCTTGAGGCAATTTCCTTTTTGCTTGGGGCATGACGGGCGTCATGGCCCCCGCTCCCCCCCCCCTATGACGTAACGTTCCCCCCCCCAGTGCGCTCCGGGCACTGCCGCCGTGCGCATTGGGATCCGCGTAGGTGTCCGCGTAGGAATCCGCCCGCAGGCGTCGTCGTCGTCGTCGTCGTCGTCGTCGTCGTCGTCGTCGTTCGCCGTCGTCGCTCGTGGTTCGTCGCTCCTCCCTCATCGTCGTCGTGCGCGCGGACGCACGCGGCTGGAGCCTGTTTTTTAAGTACGGGCCGATGACGGCAATCATCTGGGGGGGAAGGGGGTCGATGACGTCACGTTTTCGCGCCGGCGGCGTTTGTGAATGGTTAGGAATGACGGAGGACGGGTAGCACGAACATGTAGGTGGCGATATGCACCACAACGCCCGTGTACATCTCAGTGCCCGCGTGCACCACAGCGCCTGTGTACACCACGCCGCCGATGTACACCACAGCAGCCGCGCGCAACACAGCGTCAGTTTGTGCCACCGTGCCTGCGGGCACAGCAGCTCCTGTGTACACCACAACGCCTCCGTACACCACATCAGCCGTGCGCAACACAGCACCAGTGTACACCACAATGCCTGCGTGCATTGCAGTGCCTGTGTACGCCACGGCGCCTGCGTGCACCACATCAGCCGTGTGCAACACAGCACCATTGTTGTGTATAGAATTTCAGAAGGAATCTCTCTCTGTGACAGAATGGAGCGCGTGTGGATTCCAAAAAAAACAATCGAAAACAAATCTTCATGGACAAAGGAGCGCCGCTGGAATCTACGAGTCCCCCCGAGTCCGCCCGCATCACCCTGACTCCCATTTGCGTCCAGGAGGCTCCAGCTAAACTGGCCGTCCGAGAACCAAGTGGACCGATTCAATTGACCATTCTGCGGTGCACGCTGAGATGCGCACGTGCGTTGTAACGCCAAGCCGCACGACAGGGGGTAAGAAGGAGGAAGAGGAGGACGAGGAGGAGGAGGTGGAGGAGGAGGGGAGGAGGAGAAAAAAACGTCGCATTCGATTATCAGAACTTTCCTGGCGTGGCGTTTAGTTGTCCGCATCAGATCCTGACGTACATGCTCCTTCTACCTGTCCAATGCACGCAGGCATTGTGGTGTACACCAGCGCTGCGTTGCACGCGGATGCTGTGGTGTAGACAGGCGCTGTGACGTGCACGGGCGTCGCGGTGCACGCAAGCACTGTGGTGTATACAGGCGTTGTTTTGCACATGGCTGCTGCGGTGTATGTACACCTGCGCTGTAGTGTTCCCAAGTATTGTGGTATACGCGGGCGGTGCGTTGCACACGGCTGTTGCGGTGTACGCAGGCGCTGTGGTGCACACGCGCGGTGCGGTGCACGCGAGCGTTGTGGTGTACACAGGCGCAATGGGCAGATCGCCACTTACATGGTGCTCGCGTCGTCGTCGTCGCTCGTCGCTCGTCGCTCGTCGCGTCGTGCGCGCGGGCGCGGCTGTGGTGCCGGAACCACACGGCGGGGGGGGGGGGGCGTCACGTCATACCCCCCCCCGCCCTCCCCCCCCCCCCCATGACGCCCGTCATCGCCGAACATAAAGAAACGCCTTCCTTCTTGGGGCCCTCTTGAGGATCTTTTGGGGGAGTCTTAGAGCCCTCTTGGGGCTCTTTGGGGGGTCCAGGAGGCCTCTTGGGGCCGTCTTGGGCACCATGGCTCAAAAAGAGGGGGGAGAAATTTCGCCCCCCCCCTCGGAGACTCTCAAACGGCATCTTGGGGCCCTCTTGGAGCGCTCTTAGGCGATCTTGGGGCCGTCTTCGGCCTTCTTGGGCTCCTCTTGGGCCTCTTTTGGGCCATCTTGGGGCCATCTTGAGGCTTCCAAAGCCCATCGGAAGCGAAAAGGCGATAATGCCAAAAGCATTGATTTTCCCTAGGCGTTTGAACGATTTTGGCATCTTGGAGGGCGCCGTGGAGGGCTCGAAGGGCACTTGGAACCGTCTTGGGGTTGTCTTGGGGCCTCTTGGGGGTATGTCGGAGGCTATCTTGACCCTTTCTTGAAGTAGCATGGGCCATCTTGGAGGCCATCTTGCGACTTCGAAGCCCTCTTGGAGCAATCTTGGGCCATCTTGGACGCTCTAGCGCCTCGGTACCCCCCCCCCTTCCTGGCCCAGGGGAGGGGGTAGGGGGAGGGGTTTCAGTGGAAGAGAGAAGAAAAAACGCGTTATACCACCTAAGCCCAGAGGGCTGGTGGGATTATCCTGGCGAAGGACCCAATCAGATACAATTGTCAGTACCTCAAGGCAGGTGGGACGAAGGAGGGGGAGCTCTTTGTGGGGCCACGGGACGTGTGAGGGGTATGCCGATACGAGCGGGGGGGAGCACGTGGACGTCGCCGCGAGGCCTTTGGCGGAGGTCCCTAGGGGCAGGCCGCGAAGCGCGCGAGCGGCGTGCCGAAAGGGGCCGGGGGAGACGCATGTGATCACACACGCACACACGCACACACGCGCACGCACGCACGCACGCACACACACACAGACACAGACACAGACACAGACACACAGACACAGACACAGACACAGACACAGACACAGACACAGACACAGACACAGACACAGACACAGACACACACACACACACACACACACACACACACACACACACATCCGTAGCCATTTTGGCTCAAGGCCATGGAGCACCCGACGACCGCGAGTCGTCCGCGGCGTTCTGAGCGCGAGGGGCTCCGCGCTTTGGGCCTGCGCTCGGGTGTGTGTTCTTCGGACTTCGGGCCTCTGCCGAGAGGCCGCAGTTTTGGGCCGCGAGGCCATTCGACAGAGTCTGTCTTGCCATGGTGGCGCACGGACAGCCAGCTGGAGGCCGCTCATGGGCCAGCGTCGCGGCGGGCGGCAAGGCCAAGGGCAACTGGAGCTACTGGGTCTGCTCCAGCGGCCAGTGCAGGGAGTGGAACTGGTGCTCGAACTGGAAGTGCCGCAGCTGCGGCCGAGTGGCCCCGCCTTGGGTCAAGGCAGCCCAGCCGCCCGCGGCTGCCGCGGGCCAGGAGCCGCCCGTCGCCGACGCCGAGGGCTTCGTCGTCCAGCCCCGTGGGAGGAAGGCGAGGCGCCAGGCCAGGCGCACTGCTGCACGCGCGGCCAGCGCGGGGGCCGCCAGTCTGGCAGGCGTCAGCGAGGCCAGCAGCGTTCAGCCGTCAGCCGTCGAGCGGCACCGCCAGGAGGTCAAGCGCATCGAGGACTTCCTCGCGGCCCCTGGCGGGTCCATCGACGATGTGTGCCTGCAGTCGCTGCGCGCAGCCCTCGACCGCGAGCGTCGCAGGCTCTCGGCAGCAGAGGCGGCGCTGGCGGAGCGCAGGAAGGCCGACATCCCCCTGCCCAAGGCGCTCCACGGCGCTGGCAACGCCCTGGGAAGCTGGTCAGGCAGGGGCGGGCCAAGGAGCAGGCGCTGCTCAAGGCCGAGGAGGCCCACGCGGCAGCCATCGGAGAGCGTGAGGCGGCCATCGCGCGCGAAGCTGCATGCGCTGCGGCCGTTGAGGAGTGCCGAGCTGCTCTCGAGGCCCACCGCGAGGAGCAGAGGGCCGCAGAGGCCAGGCAAGCCAAGGAGGTCGGCGCGGCCTTCGTCGGCACGGACTTGCTCGGGATGGTCTTCGGCCTCATCCAGCAGGTCGAGGCCTTGCCCCAGGGTTTCGCCGCGGGCAACGGGGAGGCCGCCTTCGCTGAGGTCGCCGCGCAGATCGCAGCGGCCCGCAGGCATGCGCCCCCCGAGGCCAGGGGGCGCTCTTCCTGGGCCGACACCCCCCTCGACGTCTCGGACGAGGACCTCGACGGAGATGAGGAGGAGCGGGCGCGTGCTTCGTCCCCCCCCCCCCCCCTCCCCTGCAGGACGCCGCCGAGCGCGGCCAAGCTGCGCGGCGAGGAGAGGCGCACGGTGCGTGGCCCTCAGCCCAGCCGCTGGCGAGGGACCTGGCCAACGCTGGGGCAGCCCTCCTTGGCGACCAGCCGCTGGCGACGGCTGCTGGTGGCCGTGCTGCCGTGTGCCGCAGTCGGGTTTGACGTCGACTCGGCAGGCCCGTGTTCGGTTGACAGCAGGAGGGTCGGACGGCGCTGGGGTGAGCAGGTGCCAGTGGAGCGGGGAGCCCAATGCCCTTCCCTGGGCCTGGGCAAACCTGCGAGTGCGGCACCTGGCCGATGGGGGGCGGTGAGGGCCGCCGACGGGCGGGTGGCCGATGCCCCTCACCCCCCCACGCTCCCCGTCGAGGCCGCTGACGAGCGGGTGGCCGAGACCCTCGACGGGCGCAGCCAAGCCAAGGTGTCAAGTGACCAGAGGACGGGGATGACGGCACAGGAGGCCTGCATTGGCAAGGCTTGCCTCGGGCCGCAGCCCGCCCCTGAGTCGGACCCTCGAGGACCTGGCCCCTTGCGCGCTGGCCTGGAGGTCCTGGGCTGCAACGGCAACGTCTGGAACAGGGGCGTCGAGGTCCTCGAGGCCTTCTTCCACGCCCACCAGTACTGGCCGCAGCTGGTCCTCCTTCAGGAGACGAGGCTAACCCAGGGGCACCTTCCTGGGGCCAGGGCGCTGGCACGCCGCCTCGGCTACACCGCCTTCTTCCACGAGGTTGTGGCCCCGGGCCAGCCTGGCCCGAACGCCACGTCAGGCGGCGTCGCGATCCTGGTGAGGGCTGGACTCCAGGCCGGGGAGTCCGCATGCCAGATCCCCGCGGCCCTGCGCCACCGCCTCATCGGCGTAGAGGTGACGGCGCCGTCGGGCCTCCGCTTCTTGGCCTTGGCTGGGTACTTCCAGCACTGCTTGGGCCCGCGGGGGATCAACCTCGACCTGTTCTCCTCGGTCGCGGACCTAGTGGCATTCTCGCTCGACTTGCCCTGGGTCCTCCAGGCTGATTTCAACATGGAGCCCGAGCCCCTGCAGGAGCTGGGCTGGCCTGCAGCAGTTCGCGGTCAGGTGCTCGGACCCTCCGAGGCGACCTGCTACGCCCAGGGCTTGGAGCACGTCTACGACTGGTTCGTCGCGTCGTCCGACCTGGCCACGTGCACGGCGTCCTGCGCGACCACGCTCCACGACTTCGGGCTGCACCCGCACTCTTCTGTGCTGCTGCGCCTCCAGGACGTCAGGTGCGATGCCCTGGTTGAGGTGCCCTCCCGACCTGCTCGGTTTCCAGACGTGGAGGTCAAAGGCTTGCGCTCCCGCGAGGACGCCCTGGTCCAGGCCTTCGCTGTCGGCAAGCGTGGGAAGGTGTCGCAGAAGGATGTTGCTTGGTCATGGGCTCAGGGTTCGCGCCCGACCTGTCTCTCCGCTGCCTTCGGCGAGTGGATCGAGGCGGCGGAGGGCGCTCTCTCGGGCATTCACGAGATTGCGCCAGGCGACCTGCCACGCTACCTTGGGCGAGCGGCAGGACCCAAGACCAGGCGCATGCCCTTCAGCGCGCTGGTGCAGCGCGAGGCCAGGTTGAAGTACAGCATGCTGACCCACCGCCTGAGGAGCTGCCTTGCGGTCGCCCTCCAGAGGCTTCGCGCCGAGCAGGCCAGCAGGTGGCACCCGAACCACTCTTGGTGGTATGAGCAGGAGGCTGCGGCGAGGGCGAAGCTCCTGGACGAGGCGACCCAGGAGGTGGCTGGTCTTCCGAGCGAGCCCCTCCCTGAGGCCTCCGACGAGAAGTGGGGTGACCTCGCCTTCACGCGGGGGTGAAGGGCTGCCCCACGGCGATCGCCAAGCTGCAGTCGTGGCTCCTGGCGCCCCAGAGGCGTGATGCCGCTGAAGGCGCGGCCGCTTGGCGCAGCTGGGCCCAGACGGCGGTGGAGACAGGAGGCTGCCTGGCCCACCGCTTCTCCAAGGCGGCTCCCACGCCTGTTGTCAGGGGCGCCGACGCCGGGAGGCCGCTCGTCGGCGTGGACGCCGTGGACCAGCTCACGCGCACGTGGCAGCGGCTCTGGCTCCAGGATGGCTTCTCCCGCGGAGTCGGTGCCCACCGGTGGGATGTTGGCTCTTGGACGCTGCCGCCCATCACCCTGGAGGCCTTGCAGCAGGCGTACAAGCGCTACGGCCCGTCTGTGGGGTTGGGCTGCGACAACCTGCACCCTCGCCAGCTCCTTCTGCTGCCAGTGGCGCTGCAGCTTCGCCTGATTGACATCCTCACGGCGTTCGGGGACGAGCCCACATCGACCAAGGGACAGGTGACGCTCATGGTTTTCATCCCTACAGCTGACGGAGGGACGAGGCCCATCGCGCTGCTCCCGCTGGCCTTGCGGCTTTGGTCTCGCCTGAGGCAGCCGTGCTGTGCCCGATGAGGGTCAGGCCACAGCTTCCCCTTCTTCTGGGGTCGTGATGGCCGTGACTGCGAAAGAGCGGGTTGGATCCACAACTGCTTCGCGGGCTTCGCGATGGCCTCCCCGCACTTCGAGGTGGCCAGCCTGTTCCTGGACATCCGCAAGTTCTACGAGCACGTGCGCCACGACGTCCTCTGGCCATCCGCCCAGCGCTTCGGCTTCAACCTGAAGCTGCTGCGCGGCCTCCTCGCCATCTACCAGGCCCCGAGGATCGTGCTGGCAGGAGGCATGGCGTCGGCCCCCTTCGGGGCCAGTGGCGCAGTGCTGGCGGGCTGCGCGTGCGCGGCGGCTGTTGCTAAGCCACCCCTACTTGGAGGCCTCCTCGCAGCTGGGGCTCAGCGGCCTCTTGCTACCCTGCGCAACTTGGTGGACGACGTCTCGCTCCAAGCTGTCGGCTCGGCGAGGCTGGTGGCGGACCAGCTCGTGGGGGCCAGTGGGGAAGTGCTGCGACACCTGCGGGCTCACCACCTCCCGCTCAATGAGGGCAAGTCCGTGTTCCTGGCCTCGTCGGCACAGGTGGCGGACGGCCTCGCCGCCAGCTGGGCCGCCCTCGGCTTCGAGGTCAAGCGCGGCCCCCAGGCCCGCAACCTGGGCACCGACGCCAACGTGACCCGCAGAGGGGTCCATGAGGGAGGCGCCCGTGCTGTGGGAGGCCTCTCCCGTGCCAGGCGGCTGAGAACCCTGGGCTCGGCGGGGGCCGCGGTGGTGCACATGCGCCGCGCTGGCCCAACCGCCGCCATGCTGCGGGGCAGGACGGTCGCAGGGGTGCCTGACGGCGAGCTTCACTCCTGGCGCCTGGCGGCTGCGCGCTCGGCAGGGAAGCTTCCTAAGGGCGCCCCCCTTGGGCTGAGGCTCAGGGCGATCGAGGTGCAGCGCTCCGCTGACCTGGGCCCGAGCCCAGCCCTTGTGCGTGCCGCGGTGCAGATGGCAACCAGCCTCCTTCAGACGGGCGAGGTGCCCCTGAAGATGTTCGCTACCTGCCTGGAGGAAGCCGAGCTCAGGCACGGCAGCGCCAGGGCGCCCTGGGTGAACTGCAAGAACCCCGTCGACGCCCTGGCCCTCTCTCTGTTGCGGGTTGGGTGGCGTCTTTCGGCTGGGCACATCCGACGACGGCCACGCCTTGGACATGCTGATCATGGGCCCCCGCGAGCTCGGACTGCTGGCTGCGGCAGGTGCCCGCAGGGCCTCCGACAGGGCTGAGGTGACGCGGCTTGGGCACGGGGCCGTCCCCGCCATGCCCTTGTTCTGGGACGCACTCGGCCAGGTCATCGGCCCGCGCGGCAAGTTCAGCTGCAGGGAGAAGGCTGCGGTGGTGAGCTACCTGTCCAACGCCCACTGGCCGCAGACTCGCCTCTTCGCGTCTGGCGAGCGGGGCCGCCCCCGCTGCTGCGCCTGCGGCGAGGTGCGTGGCAGCCTCTGGCACAGGCTTTTCGAGTGCCAAGCCCTGGCCGCTGAGAGGAGGGACTCGGTGTCCGCCCGCCTCCTTCGCTGCGCC